GAAGAAGAAGAAGAAGAAGAAGAAGAGGAAGAAGAAGAAGAAGAAGAAGAAGAAGAAGAAGAAGAAGAAGTAGTAGAAGTCACACAGCGACCCTCTCCCCGCCGTGCTGCGTCACGGGCCGCACGTGTGCGTGCGCTCGGTTGGGGATGCTGGCCCTCCTGGACCGTACGGTGAAGGAAGGAGGAGGAAGGGAGAGGGAGGAAAAGAGAAGGAGCGTGCGTACCGCGACAAGAGAGGAAGAAACAGCGCGAGGGAAAGCGCGAGACACGAAAAGAGAAAGAGAGGGCGGGGGAGGGGGGGGAGGGAGGGCGGCTCGCAGCAGCCGGCCGCGCCGTCAGCTGCCGACAGATTTATCGAGTGGCACGTGCCGATCCGGAGCAATGTCGTTTTGTACTTTTCTGCTCTCGGCCGAGAGCAGCGCGCCGCGTCGAGAGGGCAAAAAGTCCCGCAGGATCGCCGGCCGGCCGGCCGGCCGGCCGAATCCTCCTTCGCCCTCCTCCACCCGCTCGTAAAACGCGATCGGTTAACTCGGCCCCGGTCGGTCGGTTGGTCGGTTGTTCGCTATCCCGGTGTTCTTCCGCTTTGAACATTCCTCGGTGATTCTCTCGCGGGATTCCTAGAGCTCGGAGGGAGAAGCGAAAGAAAGACGGAGAGAGAATTATGAAGCTGCTGCCATTAGCGCTACGTGGTGAACGTGACGCATTCGTGCGTGCGGTTATTTTGGTAGCGGCGTACGCTCGCCGACGGTTCTAATTAACGTTAGGGACTACGGCAATGTGCCGCGAATGTCTAATCGAAGTGTCAAAGTAGCAAGGATTTCGGGATTAAATTTGATTTGATACAGCTTACGAAGAAGCGCACTCCTCCTCCCCCCCCCCCCCCTCCTACCCCCGATGAATCTCGTGGTTCCTCGCGCGATCGCGCCTTAATCTCGACGAGATCGAATTTCAACATTGTTGACGCGCATAAATAATCCCGACGCTCCTTGGTAACGACAACAATCCAACGACGATCCGTATGTAAATTACATATCGAGTTGACCTATAAGCGCAAGAATAATAACGTTCGCTTATCATTTTACGATATAACTGTCATAATTTTGATTTTTGACGATCTTTCGTTTGATTCATAGTAAATTCAATAGGGAGGGACGTGCGATATGATAAATCCAGAGTGATATTTTATTCCCAACTGTTTCTATTTTTCTCTAAAACTCTAAAATTCTCTCACTGCTGTCGCGCTCGCTGTCGATATCGCGCTCCGTGTTGAAAAATCTAATTTCGGTATAGGCATACCCTGACGTCTGTTACTACTGACACTCTCGCGATCTGTCTAAACGAAGGAACGTGTGTCGACTATAACGTATTTACAGGTTTCATCTGAAAACCGCCCTGGGCTAACCGAGTTTAGCCGCGCACCAACTTTTTACCGGGGACACAGACGCCAGGTATACGAGTGTATTATCGATTCCTGATAATTGGCGGCATGAACTTTCGAAGTCGCGCGTCCTCGCGTGCGAATTAATATTTCCACGGACCAATGACGTCGGTGATAACCAAGCCGGGGACGCCGAGCGCGAGCAACGGTGGGGGCGGGGACGAGGGGAGCGGCGGAGGAACGCCGGTGGAGGGTGAGGGACACAAGGGAAAGATTTTTGCCGATGGAAGAGAGCGCGGAGCGTATTAAGAGTGACTTAAATTAATAACGCTCGCTATTTCGGAGTCGCTTCCAGGCACCGCTAACCCGATTAGTAGCCGAATGCAGTAGCAGCAGCAGCAGCAGCAGCAGCAGCAGTAACGGAGAGAGCGAAGTGAGATAACGCGGGCATAAGTAATTCATCGGCCGATCTCGCGACGTGACTGGTTGGCTATGGTAGTGGCGCAGTAATTATGGAAACTTCGACGTTACGTCAGGCTTTATAATTGGACAGGTCTCTCTCTCTCTCTCTCTC